CATGGGGGAAGATATTTGCAAATCCATCCATCAATCAGTCAGTCTGCTCTCCTTTGATTGAGCAGAGCCCTGTGAAAGCCAGAAGCACATCTCATTTCAGGGAAGGAGAGGTGGTCAAGTGAAGGCAGTTAGTGTAGGAACAGGCAGGAACTTGACTAAAAAAGAGGAAACCAGTGGCTCAGGGAGACTTGAAAATGAAGGACTCAAGCTCCTTGAGGAAAGATCCAGAAGCCAGTGGCGGGAGGTTGGAGGCACAGGAAAGCTGTTTGGTCAGGTCCCATGTCTGTTGTGTCGTTTCACCCATCCCAGAGCCTGGACAGACAGCGTGGGCAGAGGGCTGGGGGGACACTTACCTCTTTGCAGTGGGTGTGACCCCCCTCCAACCCCCACCCCACCCGCGATCAGAATGCCCTAACTGCCCCTGGCTCACCCCACAGGACCACAGGACTGTAAAGAGCACAGGCGAGAGTGAATGGGGTTTCTCAGGTCCTCTAAGCACATGAGTCTCTAAGCAGTGCAGCTCTCTAAGTGATTTTTACTAAAATTACATAACCAGGCAGTGTGGGGGTGCAGTGCTGCCCGGAGATGTGCACAGGACAAGATGCCGTGGCCAGCTCTGCTCTGCAGGAGGCAAAACAGGAGAGGATGGAGTCTTGGTTCAAGCCAGTCAACACAGCCACCCCTCTGATAAAAAGTCCCCTTTGGCCCTCCCTGGTGGCGCAGTGGGTTAGAGCACAGCACTGAGAATCTAAAGCCGCTTCCGCATGAGTTCGATCCCCGCCTGCCCCGGAGATGACCACATGGCGCGGCAGACCTCTCCTGACCCGCCCGCTGCTCCCCTCAGCAGTGTACTTCGTCCATCTGCCTGTTCTGCTCCCCACTCTGTCTCTGGTGAATCCTGTCACCCTCCGTATCTCTGGCCTGTACCCCAGTTCTGTATGCACAAATAAATAGATCTTTAAAAAAAAAAAAAAAAAGTCCCCTTCTCCCGAATGGAAGCAGTGTCTTTGGCCATTTGGAATTCCTTATGTCAAAAGCCCTCGTCAGCAAATGTTAGGTAATAATACTTCCCCGAGCCTAGGCAGTAAGCAACATGTTACCAACCAAGACACTCTAGTAATAAGAGCAGGAAGGAGCTGACACCCCCGTCTCCCCTCTCTTCCATCTTACGATGTATGTTCATAGGTGCTCGCAAAGATTCCGTTCCGCAAGTCCTACTCCCTGAGGAAGAGAAACTCATCATCGAAGAAACTAGAAGCAATGGCCAGACCATCATTGAAGAAAAGTGAGTAGAGTGGGCTGATGCCTTCCCTGCTTTCTCTGGGGCCTGGCCTGAAGGTCCTCACAGGGCAGCGGGGTTCATAGGAAGCCTGTACTGCAGAGCAACCCTCCTCGTGGTTGGATGTGACCCTCTTTGCTCACCATGCAGCTGCGGGTCTTGGGAGGGCAGCAAGCAGCACGGGAAGAAGAGGCAGAGGGGGCGGAACTCTCTCCTCGGGGTACCCTCATGCAGGTAGGGGCTTTGGGTACCTACCAAGATGGTCTAGGTGGGGGAGGAGGCACCTGAGGAGACCAGAGCTCCTCTTCCCTGTCCAGGGGAATGTTCTCATGTTCACTACATCGGGTATTGGGCTTTGACAACTTGACCTGAGTTAGAGACCCTTCAGCAATCCAGTGAGCTAGGCATACCTCTCACTGTTTTCCCAGAGGAGGAGACTGGGGTTCAGGGAAGCTGTGTCTCTGGCCTACCTTTTGCACCATAGTTGGGGGAAATCAGGTCAACGACCAAAGGCTTAGCAAATGAACACTAGTAGCCAGATAATTCATTTGTTTAAAATTGAGTCATTTCTGAGGTCAGGCCTGAATTTGCATAGGACAGCAAAGTACTTGGCATCGTTGATCTGTTTCCCTGGCTGGTGTGCGAGGTGGTAGAGAAAATGGTGAAACACTTGGGCTTTACCAGACAGAATAGCCCTGGCTCAACTCCCAGTTCTCGTACTTGTTAGCTGTGTGGCCTTGGACAAGCTCTTTCACCTCCCTGTGCCTCAGTTTCTTCCTCTGTAAAATGACTATGGTAGTGATACTTTCAGGGATATTGTGAGGCAAAATAGGGTCCTAAGTAGCTAGCACAAGGTAATCACTCCATGAATGATGACAGTTACTATAGCTGTGTCAACCTACAGCACCTTGTGAGGCTGTCAGCAATGTGGTATTGCGCCCATTTTGAATGTGAAGGCAGTGAGACCATGGGATGAGAAGCAAACTGATTCCTCAAGGTCAGAGGGCTAGTAAGTGTAGCATCAGAACTGGAACCCAAATCTCCAAAGTCTGTGCTCAAGAGGAGAGCTAGAGTGGAAATGACTCTTTCGCAAACCAGCCAGGAAGCTTCATCCTTTGAAAGTAATCTATAGGATCTTCCCAAAATAACATCTCCAAAGGTAGGGCCGGATGGGTAGGAAGGGCGCCTCGCAGCTACTGTAGGGTAGGAGGGGCCTGTGGCAGCTGTCATTATGCATTAGGGGATGCACAATTCTTCCCCCAGAGAGAGAACCGTATGTCACGTATGTCATGTGTTGAGCCCGCATCTCTCTTCTTGAGAAGTCAATTTCTATTAAGGTAACATTATTTAGGCTTTGGGTGTACAGCATCTTAATTGTACATGTGTCCACACTACATCGTGATCACCACCACGAGCCTAGTTTCTATCTGCTGCCAAATGTTCCATGCCCTTTTACCCTTTCATGTCACATCCTTCCCAACATCCTTTCCCTTTCGTGACCCCCTCCTCAGCAGTGTCTTTGTGAATTTAGCACCAAAGGTAAGAGAAACAAAAGAAAAAACAAACCGATGGGACTGCATCAAACTAAAAAAAGTTTTTGCACCATGAAAGGAACCTGGATGGAGCATGGGGGAAGATATTTGCAAATCCATCCATCAATATATAAAGAACTCATGTTCCCCCAAAACAAAGACACTAACAGCCCAATTAAAATGAGCAGCAGACCTAGCTTCCTGCTTCATACACGCACGCTGGGAAGCAAGTGGGAAAGAGGAGGAAAGCACAGAGGAGTTGCCGGGGCCCATGGTGAGTGGTGGGGGAGGGGTGCCGTTAGCCCACACAGCTGCGGATCCTACAAGCAATTAAGGAAGTCTCTCTCCCTGTGGCTAAGAAGTTCACTGCTTTTCAGAATCTGTATTTCTGTAAAACTGCTTTTAGAGTTATCACCTAACAATGCTTGAGTGCCAGCCATTAATGTCTGAATTTTACCTTTCTGTTCTAGGAGCCTTGTTGATACTGTCTATGCCTTGAAGGATGAGGTCAAGGAACTGAAACAGGTGAGGAAATATCAAAGTTGTTTGCTCACATCATAACAGGTCCACTCCCTCTTCCTTGCCACGCACTGGGGGTTGCTCTCAGGAAAGGCCCATGAGCAAGGCAGTGACACAGGGGGGATTTTATTTTCCTGGATCACAAAGTAGCTTTTGTTGATTTTACATTTGGCCTTGGTTTAAATTTCTGAGGCTCACTTAGATACCTATTTAATGGTTTGTAATAATGTCCCAAACTCAGTTATAGCTTTTATGGTCCCTGATAGCTGTAAACAGAATCAAGAAAAACAAGTCATCTAAGCATAAGTGTACACAACTGGCGCTTTGTGGGCTTCTCTGCTGATGGCCCCATCAGCTGTGCCTGGTGACTGGGTAGAGGGAAGTCTGGGGCAGCAGAGAGGCCAGAGGCTACAAGACCACATATGAGGTGATTAAAACATGCAGGATGAGACCTGGTGGAGTCCCGAGATGAGGCAGAGCCCTGCAGCTGGGCAGGAGGACCTTGGATGTCAAGGAAGGTGTGGTGCAGAGTTAGAGTCCAGGGGCAATGATGCCATGACGTAGGGATTAAGGCAGAGCCAGGGATTAAGGGAGAAGCTTCTTACTTGGTATCTATAGTTATGCAACACCTGATGGTGTTTCAGTCCACGACAGTCCCAATAGGTGGCAGGAGCCTGGGAGCATGGCAAGGACCTTGTAGGTTTGTGTAATTACATTTGATGATTTTGTACTGTGAGGAAATCCTGGCTGATGCATGTCTCAGCATGTGTCCTCAACATTAAGTGACACTGGATGTGGTTTGCTATGGTGGTGACTCTTCCAGATCTGGAATCACAGGAGGAGGAGAAATGTGGAGTGCAGGGGAATAAACTCAGTTCAGTCTTGGACATGAAGACTTTGAGCTGCTTGTAATAGGTTCAGGTAGAAATAGCAAATTGGCATTTAGAGCTGTGGATCTTGAAATCGTGGCAGATGGGGTCAGTATCAGATTTACAAGGTCCCTTAATAGATATGTGAGTTGAAAGCAAAGCGTCAGTGAACAAAAAGAGGGATGAATTTGAAGAGGGCCCAGGCCAGGACCTCAGCAAATGAGTATTGCCAGGAAGAAGAATGTAAAGGGCTGGTTAGAGAGAGGTAGGAGAACCGAGAGCCTGTGTCACCTTGCTTGGAAGCTGAGTGAGGGAGAGGAGTTTTACGAAGAAAAGTTTAATCAGTGCTGCAGGCTGTCAGGAGGATGAGCAGGAGCCCTGAGGAGGGGCCACTTTGGGAATGACAAATCTTCCCCATCGTAGGAGAATAAAAGAATGAAGCAATGCCTGGAGGAAGAATCGAAATCGAGAAGGGACCTCGAAAAGCTGGTCCGGAGGCTGTTGAAGCAAACTGATGAGTGTGTACGGGCTGAATCCACTAGCAAGACCTCGGTTCTTCCGTGACCTCACTGTGCTGCTGGGCGGGGCACACAGGCGTCTTGAAACGTCCAGCTGAAGGATTTGTCTCAATCTGCTCACTTCTTTGGTGTTTAATCTCGCTCTCTCTTTCTCTCTTGCTCGCTCGCTCTCTCTTGTGTTCTCTACAAAATACTCTGTTTGCTTGAGTGTTTGTTGTTGTTTGGTTATTGGTTGGTTATTTTTCAGGAGGGATAAAAGCAAGAAGGGTGGTAAGAGTCTATTCCATTCAATCAGAGAAGGAAAGCGAATACAGGCAAGCGACTTCAGTGCCCTGCAGTGGCCTGCAATTCAGTATGTCTGCCACAGCCGTGACCCTCAGGTCACTCAGGTCGGGCTTGCTGCTGACCCAAAGCAGCTGGCTGTGGCTTATTAAATGTGAACTTCATGTTTCCCCTATCTGTGGCTGTAGCCAGAAGCCCCTCAATACCTAATTTACTGAAAGCAACGTTTCTTAAGCAATGACGAGGGTAGAGTGAAAGAGTAATGCATTTGCCCAATGATCCAACCGCTCTCGCAGACCGTCAGTGCCCCCCCCCCATGCCCACTTTTAGAAAATCACTGCCACATGCCATGTATAAGACCGAGGACACGGCAGGGCCCTTATTCCTTGTGGATCACTTCACATTTCTACTCATCCATGCCAACCCCAAATCCAGGGGTCAGTTATGCTGGCCAGCTTCCCTTCAGCCACAGAGCTGACCGTCTCTTCCCAGTGTACAATTGGCTCCACCCTCGGTCTTCTTCCTCATGTGTCAGTGTTAGACTTCCTCAGTGCTTTTGGCCAATTATGCCAGACAGTATGCGTGTACTTTGCTTATTTTTTAAAATATGTAGATTGTGAGCAGTTACTTTATCTCATTGCCTATTCAAATCAGGACTTCTCATCTTTCAAAACAATTCCACATTGAGGAGCTGCTGTGCCCTAGTAAATACCATCACACACTTGATGGCTGCCCCCCACTGCTGTGAGGAGTTTGGGCCTCTTTGAGGGGCGGTAAGCATTTTGTGCAAAAGTGTGCTGTTGGTCCCATTTGTATATCCAGAAAGGGCCCCTCTAATCGCTACATGCTGGTAACTAGTGAGGCTGATCATTTGGAATTGGCTTACTCAACTTACTCATCAAATCAAGCCCTCACCTTTGTAAATATCACAAAAATTGAAACTGTGAGAAAGCAAGTTTAGGAGAGCCTCAGATGTCAGCCCAAGGCTCTGGAACAGAGCCTTTCACTCCCAAAGGCAATGAAATTTGGCCAAGTGGGGGAAATCATTGGCAAGAGAGGCAAAGGGTCAATGGACTGATCAAAGTCGATTCATCAGTGCTTGCAATTGTGGGCTTTGCAAATAAGGAGTTTGACATCCCGAGCCTGCTGAGAAGCCCTTTTTTCCCTAGTGGGGGGGTGTCTGAAGTTCCCATAGCCAACTAGTATTGACTGCTGCACAGCAGAAGTGACGCCATGCACAGGAAATTCCTGCAGGCCTCCATCAGCCCAGCCACACTCAAATGTCTTTGGAAGTTGAGGTATGAAGAGGATTTGTAGGAATGCCTGCTGTTCTGTTGCTAAGCACAGCAGCTTGGCTATGCCATTCTTCACCTAAAAATTTAAAACAGCACAGATCTTAGCATCTGCCCTGTCTGTGGTTACTCAATGGCTTGCAATAAATGTGCAAACTATATCCATAGGAAACATTTTTGTAATTACAAAATACTTTAGTTGATAAGATATAGGATTGCTTAAAATATTGAAAGATCTTTTATTTTAGTGACATGTACATATGCATGTTTGGGGGATTGGGCCTTTTGATGAGAGGCCTTTGGTACTCTGGGTAATGAAGCTTGTGCAGAGAGATGTCCGCGCTCCACACTAAACAATCATATAAAGGAAATGAAGCCATGTTAACCCAAGAGCAGCGTCTCCCTAGTTGTGTTGTTTACAATACTCTATAAATGGGCTCCTGTTACCCTGTAATGAAATTTCTGCCCCTAGAGGCCTTTCAGTTCCTCTTCTGTTATGTCCCTTCTTACACAAGCTCAAATTTTCTAACTTGTTTTTATTTGGAAGACTTTTAAAACCGACATTTTCAATAAATAAGAATACTGATGCTTTATAAAATAAGTCCTGTGTTTCCTTCTTTGGCTTGCAGGTGCCAGAGTTCTCTTTTCCCAACAACATTTGTTTATGAAACATTCCTTTGTCTGTTGGATGGTCGTAGCTTTCTTATCAAAGATCAATTCCATATTTGTGTGGGTTTAATCTCAGAGCTGGCTACTCATTAGTTTACACTTTAGTTTTTGTTCCAATACTGTACTATTTGATCATTACTGCTTTGTAATATTGTCTTCCAGGTCCGCTTCCTCTTTCATTTCCCTCACTCACTATCCACTCTCATCAGGTTCCCAGACAGCTACTCCCTTTTCCAGCAGGGGCAGGTAACATTTGCTCCTTACTTCACACACTAGTCTCTCTTGTTGGATCTGCCTCCTTGGCCTGTTCCCTTAACACAGCTCCCTTAATTCAGCTGATCTTTGACCTCTTTTCTTCATTCCTGAACTTCTCAGCCCTCTGCTTTTGTCCCAACCTATACATTGTCCATGCCTCTTCACACCATTTTCCTTCAATATTAAAGAAAAATATATACATTTTTCCTGTTCAACATTAACCCTCTCTTAGTCTTATTTCCACTCCTATTTATATTTGCCAGGATTTTGTCCAGCAATAATATCCTATACTTTGACCACAGTCGGACTGTTGCTGTCAAGAGAATGACACATCAAGATAGATAGATGTGCTGGACGTTATCTGTTGCTCCTCAGCATCCATTCCTACCCTTTTTTAAAAAATATATTTTTATTTATGCATAAAAGAACTGGGGTGTAAGAGAGAGGGGCAAGGGGGTTGAGGGGATTCACCAGAGATGGAGTGGGGGAACAGAACAGGCAGATCTACTGATATCCACTGCAGAGGGGAGCAGTGGGCAAGGCAGGAGAGGTTGCTGCACCATGTAGGTCAGCTCCCTGGCCAGGGATCACATTCATGTTGCAGTGACTGGCGATAGCTTCATAGTGCTGCGACTTAACCCCTTGCACCATCAGGGAAGCCTCCACTTCTACCCTTTTCACCTCTTGCCTGGCAACCTGAAAAAGAAAAAAAAAAAATACATATCCCGAACCCTTGTAGCTAGGGTTCTAGTTACAATGTGGGATCTGACACATTTCCCATGCCACAATGAGATGCCCTTGTAAAAGCTTTGGAATGCTTAAGCAGTTGGAGGTCATCTTCCTAGGGCTTGGTGGCTAACCGGCCGTTCCAAGGATATATTTGTGGCTTTGTACTCCACACTCCAGTGTGTCTATTCATAGGTGTATGGACGACAGAGTAGTTATAACCGTGCAGTTTGATTTATTTAGTGACTAGATTTAGATCACAACTTCAGTGCTATGACTTTGAAGCCTTAGATCTAACAGCAGCCCCCTGACTTCCACTTCACTTGCCCAATGATTTTTTTTTTTTTAGGTGTGTAATTACCTTTCTGGCCGAGATATTCTGCATGGTTTATGTTTCTTACTCTGAACCTACAACATTGTACTTTCCATGTAGTAGGCACTGTGCTAGGTGGTTTACATGGCTAAACTCACGTAACACAACAACGCTATGGTACAGTCACTATTGTTATTTCCATTTTACAGGTGAACAAAGGCAGAGATGTTGCACTATATACTAGAATGTGTGGAGTTCGGATTTCAGTCTCTGGTCTCTCTGCCTCTTGGCACCATGCTCTGTCTACCACATTTACCCCTCTGAATGTGGCACCCACTAACTAGGTTTCTTCCTCAGCTATCCACTCTTTCAAAATCATTCATGAACTCTTAATTGATAAATCCAGAGGACAACTCGGCAGTATTTGACCCTTGCCTCCTTGGTACATTGCTACATGACTTTAATGATGACCTGCTTTCCTTGCACTCCTTCGCCCTTTCTGACCACCCCTCAGTCTCCCTTGTCAGATCTGTCTTGATTGCCTGTTCCTTAAACACAGCTGATATTTGACACCCTTTCCTCATCTCTTCCATTCTATAACCACTTCCAAGTCAATCTTGTCTACTCCATATCTTCATTTATCAAAATGAAGATGATTTCTTTGTCTGTATCTCTCATTCTGCCTAGGCCCCTAAGCTCCATGGATGCAGCTACCTTCTAGAAAGCTCGTGTGGATGACACACAGCAATTCAAACACAACATGTCCAAACTGCACTCCTCGCCTCTAGTCTCAAATCTGTTCTTCCAATGGTTTCTATCCCATAAAACTTCACACCGGGCCACTTAATTGCCCTAGCTAGAAAAACAGGCATTAACTGTTATTCTACCCCCTTTCTCAACTCTGTATAAATTTATACTTTAACCTTCAATTCATTTAGTACTCAGGTCTTCCCATTCTACCTCTGTTGGATCTCCTGGATCTCCATCCATACAAGCACTGCCTAATTTTGTCAGTGTCTTCTTTCCCTTGGGCTACTGTGCTACTTTTGCTAATCTAGCTCTTTGGTGCCAGTAGAACGAGTCTCTCAAAAATACCCTGCCCAGAATCTCTTTCCCCTCTCTGCCCGTTAAGCAAATGCTTTTTATTCCATTTGGGGTTAGTTCTAGTATCTATGTCAACTCATGCTTCTTACATATCCATATGTACATATGTGTACATGCACATTTCTTTATATGTATGTGGTATGAATATATGTATAAGGATTGTCAGATAAATTTGAAGCCCAGTTAAATTTGAATTTTAGTTAGAGAGAAAAGTAATATTTTGGTATATATTGTTTTCCAAATATTTTATGGGATCTATTTGTACTATTTTTTCAGTGTTTATCTGAAATTCAAATATAACTGAGTATCCTGAATTTTAGTTTGCTAATTGTGACTTCTTTGGGGTGTGTGTGTGTGTGTATGTCCTAAAACCAGTGACACTCAATAATAATAATGTGCTCAATAATAATATGCACAGCTAACACCTGAAACTTGGGTTCCAAACATTCTTCTCTATGCTCAAGGAAAATAGAGGTCCTTGGAGAAATGGCTGATTCTGTGTTTGGTGCAGGGAAGGTAGAAGATGAGCCTGGGACATCTTGTGCCAGGAAGTAACAAAGGCTCAAAAAAAAAAAAAAATGATGGGCTCATGTCACAGGAACACAGGTGCTAACTGAGGGGAAATTTGAGCACCAAAAGGACATAATGAGTTTAAAACATTGAAGAAAAGGAGAAATATAGGCCGTGCCTGGTAGTGTAAGAGGTTAAGTCTCAGCACTGTGAAGGTCTCCTCAGTCACTGCAGCACAAGTTCGAACCCTGCCAGGGGGTTGACCCATATGGTGCGGCAGACCCCTCCTGTCTTCCCATTGTTCCCCTCAGCAGTGTACTTCAGTAGAGCTGCCTGTTCTATTGCCCACCCTGTCTCTGGTGAATCTCCTCACACCCCCACACCTCTGGTCTGCACCCCAGCTCTTGTATGCATAAATAAATAAAATAAATCCTTTTTAAAAAAGTAGAAATCTGGCCCTCCCTGGTGGCGCAGCGGGTTAAAGCACAACACTGAGAATCTAACGCCGCTTCTGCATGAGTTCGATTCCCGCCTGCCCCGGAGGTGACCACATGGCGTGGCAGACCTCTCCTGACCCGCCCGCTGCTCCCCTCAGCAGTGTACTTCGTCGATCTGACTGTTCTGCTCCCCGCTCTGTCTTTGGTGAAGCCTCTCGCCGCCCCTGAGCCTCTGGCCTGTACCCCAGTTCTGTATGCACAAATAAATAAATCTTTTTAAAAAAAAAAAAAGTAGAAATCTAGGGGCCCTCCCTGGTGGCGCAGTGGGTTAAAGCACAGCACTGAGAAGCTTAAGCCACTTCCGCATGAGTTCGATCCCTGTCTGCCCCGGAGGAGATCCACGTGGCGCGGCAGACCTCTCCTGACCCGCCCACTGCTCCCCTCAGCAGTGTACTTCCTCGATCTGCCTGTTCTGTTCCCCACTCTGTCTCTGGTGAATCCTGTCACCCTCCGTATCTCTGGCCTGTACTCCATTTCTGTATGAATAAATAAATAAATCTTTAAAAAAAAAAGTAGAAATCTAGAAGTCCACACTGATATTTAAATAAGAAGGGGGGAGCGGGTAGCCCTTTTTTACAGCACAGTGTTCTACCAGAGCCGATGAAGAAGCCACGCTGGGTTTCTCCCACGAAATGGCCCTTGATTGGGGGTGACAAGCAATGACTCCATTGCCTTCTGTGGGGGACTGAGGGAACAATACCTCCCCCACACCCACTACCCTACCCGGGTGTCCCAGCTCTGTCTCCTCTGGCCTAAGTTGCAACCACCTGATAGCTATTCAAAAATTAAGCAGCTGCTTCTCCTTTAAAGGCCTCTCTCTGGTTTCATTTAGTGGTGGCTCACCAAGAAACACATCCAACTCTTTTCACTCCTCTGCAAGCTTCCCAGAGCAAGCTGGAAGGAAAGGCCCAGACTCCTTTGCTGAATGCAGATGAGCAGAGCGTTATGGCCCCGCAGGGAGGGTGCCCCATCAGGGTGCTGTTCCCTTCAGAAGTAAGTTTGAGAAAACATCACAGAGGTCAGGAAAATACTTTCCAAATGTGTCCTCCTCTCCCACCCTGGCCTGGGGCTTTTGGTGCTAAATGACAACAATAAGGTTAAAAAGGATCTTTATTATTCAAAAAATAAATAAGATAATCACTATTCACTGTGGAAACAATGGAGATAGAGGGTGGATAAGACAGGTTTCCTTTAAATACGTCCTTAGGTGAGGAGTGGGCAGCTCAGAGCTGCAGATTCTGAGTTCCTGCTGGTCCACAGTTGGGGAGAGGGACAGGATGGACATAAGATGACCGATTAGCAAAAGCCTGCTGTGTGTGTGTGTGTGTGTGTGTGTGTGTCAGAGAGTGAGAATGGCGGAGGGGGTCAGGCACGGTTTTCAGTTCTCCACTGCCTTTCACGCGCAGGGCCTGCCCCTCCGTCAGAGCCACAGGGACCCAGAAACAGCCATAACCAAATGTGAGCTGAGTCTTCCTGTCTCCCTCCCACATTTTCGTGGATAAATATGTCATCCACTGCAAGACACGGCAGGTAAAGAAACAAAACTGAGCTTGGCTAACTAGCTGCTGTTGGCTCGGGACCGCACACAGGGTCTTGTCTGCCCAGCGCTGGGTGTCAGGTCGCTGGGGTTGTTGCATCACAATACAAGCTCTTTGGAACGGGCCTGCCTGGGCTTGGCGCACGCATGCTCGGTTACTGCAGCCCCACGTGCCTTGGGATGTGTAATAAATAGTTCTCCGTGAGGAGCATCCTGGGGTTATAAATAGGCAGTTCAACAGGGAGTGGTTTTAACTGCTTTGCTGTATTATGAAGACTGCCGGCAGCAGTCCAGCCGCAGTGTGCGAGGTCGTGCGGTTCAGAGTTTGAGCAAGCCGAAAGACGTGAAGCCAGTGCCATGGCTCACTTGGCTCGGATCAGTCACGTTGACAAAGACCGAAGCGCCGGGGTGCAGTTCAAATACTCCTCCCAAGTGAACAGACTGTTGGCCGCAGGGTTTGGAGGAGCTGCGGGTGTTCGCCGCTCTAAGTAAGATTCTCTCGGAGCCCCCGTCCGACCTCAGGCAGAGGCTGGCAATGAAGGGCGCTTGAGCTGAAGCTTCCCGATTGGAGCAGAAGGTGACTTGGGCATAGATGTAGTAGAGTCCTTGCCTTTTGACGGTCAGCTGTCTCCCGTTTTCCAGGGTCACCAAGTTGCTGCTCATGGTGTAGTAGCCCTTGCGGGCCCACTGCAGAACTGCACGGGAGGGGAAACAGGGGTGAGAGGTTGCAGAGCGCAGTTCCCGTATCAACAGGACCCAGACCCGAGCTCTGGCTACGGCTTCATGCACGAATGAAAGTTGGGGGCCAGGGATGCTTCCGAGCCCTTCCAGCACCCCTCCTCCCTGGAGGTGCTTCCTGACGCACCTCGGGCTTTGCGCTCGAGGGAGCTGGCTGCCGACCCTGGCTCTGCTTAAGCTCCAATAAGACCCTTGGTGCCCCCTGAAGCCGGGGCTCTACCTTCAACCCGGGGCTCTGGTCGCACGTGTTCCATAGACTGCTTTTGATCATTAAATAAAGTAACACCCTAATGAGCTTCCTTCTCCCTTTCATGTTCTTAAAGCCAATTGGACCCTGGACTTAAGAACATGAGAGGATTTCAAAGTCCCACACCTCCCTTTCTGCTTGCCAAAGTGCTCTGACCCCATCTTTGCTAAGGGGAATGTCACGGCTGGCTTTCCTTGAATTTGACAGTCAGACAGTTGCCAGTGTGCCTAGGTCAGCGAGAGGGAAAGTCCGCTTTCCTTCCTATCGATCATGCTGTTGCAAAGCCAGCCTGCCTCCCACAGCCAGGACTCAAACAAGGCGAGGAAGTATGAAAGGAAACCTGTCATTGCGCATGTTTTCATCTCTTGTTGTACAGGCGCCACCAACTTGAAAGTCGCCGTAGTTTGTGGCTACACTGGAGTACCCACCAAGAGTGCCATTTCTCAGCTGAGATTTTGAGTGGGTTCAAAGTCGTGTGAGCACCCGATTTCAAATCTCAGCTCCCACAGAGCTAGGCTACAAGGGGTGGGGGGTGGGGAGAAATGAAAGCATTGATGCATGTGCTTTCTTGGGTTTTTAAAACTTCCTAGCTGCTGCTCTTAGGCCCATCAGAGTGCAAGATCCCGCCTGTTGAGACTCCTGCTCTAGTGAAGGGCGCATCCTGCAGGGCCCGCCATTTCCTGCTTTCTAGATCATCTCAGAAACGACATTTCATAGGATGGTTTCACTTTTGCGTTCCCTATTTTTCAATCCACTGTTTCTGTAGGTCTTTAGGTAACTTTCCTCCTTGCTGTGGGCTGTAGGCCAAATTTAGAGCACATGGCCATCAGATAGGAAGGGCAGATAGGCTGGGACAGGGGAGGGACACGGAAGTTACTGTCTTCCACCTGAACCCTGTGACCCCACAGCACTGTGGACTGTAGAGGGCCAGTGGCCATCTTGGGCCCCATTAGCAGAACTCGACACCAGGAAGTGATATATCCACGAGGACAATTTAGACACAGGGGACAAAAGACCAGTGGCAAACTGGTCTTGTAGGTGGTGTTTTATCACGGCCTTCTATTCCAGATGAGTTTCATGTGGCCGGCCACCCTGACCTGCTGAAACCATGACATTACCCCACGAGTGTATTTTCTGACAGAAAGGTAATGGACAGGATTATTTTAATAATATCTCATATTAGTGAAGGACTTTACGGCACTCTTCTGACAGCTCAACGTCAGTGAAATAAGCAAAGTTGGGACACCTAGCATTTGGAGAGTACTTGTCAGTGACTTTCTTCTACATGAGCTCATCGAGGCTCAGTTACCCCACATTGTCAGTGAGGCAGGAAACTGCCATGTAGGTAAAGGGACCCACTGTCACCCGGCAAGTGATGGTCGTGGGTCCTAAAATCAGTGTTGAAACACGTGCGACCAGTGCTCTTCCTCCCACACCGTGATCCATGATGCACCCGCCTGTGTTATGCCCTCTGAGAAGCCCACACCCCTGAAGATCTGGGGTGGCTCCTCTCCTGCCTTGTCTCTCTGTCTTTCTCTGTGTTTCTGTCTCTCTTTTGCACACTCACACACACTCTCTCCCACACGCTCCATTCTGAGGCACTGGGCTGACTTTTTTCTGATACTATGATGCTCTCTAACTGCCTTTATTGAAGTCGATGGAAATTTTATGCTGGCATGCACATTCCATCCATTTATCAGATACAACACATTCTCCAGCACCAGCTATGGTGAGGCACAGATTTGGGGAAAAGTATCTAATGGCTAGACCGATGGCAGAACGTATATGGAAATAAAATCATTCAAAGTTGATAAGCTTATAGTGCGTCATCGCTTGTTACTTCAGTGGAAAATCTAACATCCTGGTACCTATTGATCTTTGCAGAATGATTTTACCTTTAATTTCCCTGAGGTTGGCCCCAGTGAGGCTGGGGTGAATCATACAGGGATGCACCCCTGAGGCCTATTTATACACAGCAAAGAGGGGTTAGGAGGAGGGGTGCTCCCAGGCAGGGGGGTCACTACCTGCCATCGCTTCCTCGCTATCCGAATAACGGTCCCTGCGCTCAGCAATCCATCCCTGGGAATCAGCCACAGAGCAAGGAGATAACGAGAAGTTGGGAGTATGTCCCTCCTCCTTCCGGCCTTCTAAGCTCCATCTGTGCATTCAAGCTCACTTTGAAGACAAAGGTGAGCGTAGCAGAGGTGCACAGATTGGTCTGTAAATTGGGCCCCAGAGGAAGAGAGGAGCATATTCACTAGGCTGCTTTGCCCCAGCGTCCCAACCCATGGGCACCTGATGTGCAGATGCTTTTGGACTCACCAGATGCTGTTTTACTGCTGGCCTCACTTATGACATGTGCAGCAATTTGAGGATCCTGATCACCTAAAATGAAAGCAAAAGCAAACTGTCAGGCCAAAGGCACATCACTGTCCACAGACTACTTAGTCTAGCTGCACAGCTATGTCCTAGAGTCTGTGCTTAACTGGGTAAAAGGCAGAAAATCATCTGAAATCCCTTTCTTGGAGGGAAAAGTTGATTTTCGAAATCTGAACAAGTGAATTGTTTTTTTGGTTTTTTTTGTTTTTTTTTTTTGCATGGATCCTGTTCTTCTAAGGGTTGTCCAGCATGCGACTCCACACTACATAGACTGACACAGCCTGAATATATTGCACTTCCTTAACCATCTGCAGGTGTGCTTTTAGAGATCTCTCCCATCCATTGGGGTCCCAGGCTCATGCCTGCCCACTTAGCTAGTATGATGCTTCTGGTGTCTGTTCTTCTCAAGCAACTGGCCAGGCTATGGTGTTTTTCTCCAACTACTTCTCACATGAAATCTCACTCTTTAATTAAATCTTCTGACCTCCTAAGTGTACACACTGTGTGGAAGTTTCTCTCTTTGCAGTGATCAGCCTAGTGTGGGTCACTTTGTAGTGCCCTGTAAGGTAGAGTCAGGTTGCATGACTTCAGTTACGAGTTGCATGAGGTTTGTTATTTTCCTAAAGACTATAGGCAACAGCCCTACCAACTGTTGCCTTAAATGTCTCTGTAGCTAACAGGCAGCCCAGTGGCACTCAACAGTTCATTCTGAAACAAGACTTTCCTGGAAATCAGATGACCCTTTGAGTCCAGATCAACAGTTAAAGCATGTTCTGAGTACTCTCTCCCTTAGGAAACAGTTATGTGCATCTGGTTTCTGGGTGGGTGTTAAATTTACAGAAACTGCTATTTTTTTTTTTATCTTCCCTAACTCTGTGACATCATAGTCTTTCATCACTATTCCAGCTTTCCCATCCCTGGCTGCTCAGGTTACTTCAGGAATTTTGGTGTTTGATTTGAAAGTTAATATGTTCAGAAAAAGAAGTAACCAAGAGGGCGATGGGTCCTGAAAAGGGTCCTGGGAGGAAAGTTTCAGTGGTCTGAGACATCTGGACAGCTGCTGTGTGGGAGAGGAATTACAAACTTTGTTTGATATGACCCTAAAGAGCAGAACTAGGTCCCGTGGTTAGAGATTACGGGAACAGATTTCAATCCCAGAGGAGAAAAGACTTCTCTCAAGTAGTACAGTAATCAAGCGAGGATGGCCAGGCTGCTCTAGGATGTAGAAGGTCCTTAGACAAGTTTGACCAGAGGCCAGGTGGTGTGAAGGAGACTCGTGCTCTGGGGATGATGCTCAATTTCAGAGCCATCTTGGTCCCTCCCAGGCTTGAGATGGTCAAGGTACTGCAATATCCAGAACAGGGCGAAGAGTAGAATGTGCTCTCACCAAACCACTCCTCGTTACCCTGGCCCCCCTGGTGATGCTTCCCAGCCAATGACTATCATTGTCGGGCCATGAGTGCCCTTGCCAACAAAGGATGGCATCCTTGGCATCTCATCCTCTGTAGGTGGTGCCAGGCTCTAGGACCACTTTGGTTGAGGTATTGAAAGGGATGGGATTTCTTCAGACTTGGGAGTGTCAGCTTTCAAAGAACACAGCTTTTCCTGGCAGTTTATGCCAGTAAAACTGTTCCAAATCACAGCTACCAGAGAAGGCATCAATTTGGCAATTGTGTTCCCATGGTATCTTCAGGCTTAGAAGTTCCTGATTCACCATGGTGTTTGTTCAATCTAACCAACATAAAGCTTCCTTTTCCTTTTCAAGTATTCAGAGAAATCGGTAAATTGCAACCTACCTTTTTGCATTTGAAAGTTTTGCCCATCCATCTTCTTCTCATTCACTTTGTTATTGTTTAGCATGATATCCTGAAATAAGAATCATTGTAAAAGGTCATTTTCACATGAACTCTGCTATGGGGCTTTAGATGTGTTGCTCATTTGGCATCTGTCATTACTCTGTTGTCTGGTTTTAGTGAGGATTTTCCTAAGGAGTCTGATCCTGTCTCTAATTATATCACAATGACTGGAAGCCCATGGATCTGACAGATGAGCTGATAGGTCCCAAAGCCCAGCGGAGCATCTGGAAGCAGACGCTTGGCCTTATTATCACTCTTCCAGTGCTCTCTCTAGACCGAAGACTGCTATCATGACCCTTCCTGTGACCCCAGCCTCCTGACTTTGACAAGCATTGACAAATAGTACTGAATGCAGAGATGAGTCTACCCTGGAAACTGGCATGTAGGATATTGTTAAGCATGAAACATGGTATGTATCTATAGAGAAACAGTGGTCTGAAATCTCTTTGGAAATGGCATTAAGTCAGTTTGACCTTGGGACAACTGCCAGACTGTGGAAAGAAACTCAGCAATTTTTTATTTTATCTCTTTCGACAGTTGAAGTGAACCCCTTATGTGGTGGCCCTGTCTGGTTGAGCTTTACTTGGAATAATCAGCCCTTCAGAACCACAGGTATCAACCACTCAAAGTGCTGATGTTCAAGGGCAAATACAACACTGGTTTTTTTCCCCCACGATATGTGTTGTTTTTTTTTTTAAGATTTTTTTTATTTATGCATATAGAACTGGGGTACAGGCCAGAGGTACAGGGGCAGTGAGAGGATTCACCAAAGACAGAATGGGGAGAAGAACAGGCAGATCGTGGAAGTACACTGCTGAGGGGAGCAGCAGGTGGATCAGGAGAGATCTGCTGTGCCATGTGGATCACGTCTGGGATGGGATCAAACTCGCACCAAAGTGGCTGTGGCCAGCTTGCAGTGCTGTGCCACCAGGGAGGGACTATATATGCTTTTTATATTAGTGCCACTTACTCATGGATACAGAGACTTTTAAGCCTTATAATAGACAGTGTGGGTTGGATTGATTGATTTCTTGTTTCTTTCAATTTATTTTATTTTTTTCTTTGATTCCTCCACCAAACCACCCATGCCCACACCCCATCTGCTTCCCTCTCCACCCTTTCCCCATTCCCTCCAGTCGGTTGTCATCCATTTTGCAAAGGTGATGCTTCTTAAGATTTTTCTTCTCCCTCAACTACTGAAGGAATACTGGGGGCACCCAAAGAATCTAGCAGCAGCTGTCGCTGGTGCAGTTCATAACAACTACAGCTGCCACTTGAAAGATCCAGAACAAAGGCCTGGGGGAGTAATGGGCTGGCACAGCATAAGCCAGGAAGGCTGAGGCTGAAGCCAAAGCGGAGACTGTGAGGTCATATCCATGACTGGACTCTCCACAGCAGTGGTTCACAGCTCCTGGAAAGCCTGGCACCCCTTCCCAAGACAGGGATGGGTTTTCTGCAGGCCCCCCTTTCTGCCCCTTCTCTAGCAAGAGTTTGTGTGGGTGCTGTGGGTGCCTAGGTGGAGGCTCAGCTCAGATGCTAGTTGGGCGGGTGTCTCTCGTGACACCTAAAGGAGAAGCTGCACCTCTCAATGCTCACACAGGCTGCAGAGCTTCAATTTTCCATTTGAGCTGAAGTGTGGCACTGTGAACATGCGGCGACAGGAAAATGTTTGTGAGATAACCAGTAAACAAATGAGTATTTTGTGTCTTTTCAAATAAAGAAGTGTGACGATTGAGATTGAGATGCTTTGAGGCTAGGTGGTTGCGCTGGTGTCGGGGCCTGGCAGAGATGAAAGCGTGAAGTCAGCAGCTTGGTCTTTCATGCGCCCAGCCTTGCCTTTCTGTGAACTTTCCCCCAGCCCCACGCCCTACAGCCTCGTTTTGTTCATTTCTTTGCTCCCCATCTCAACTGAAAGACTTTTTCAAGTTGACTTTCAGAAGATCTGGAATTAGTTCTTTCCTCTCTGGGAACTCCATGTGGTAGGGCCAGACAGGTCAACCTTTCCCTTGAAAAGGAAATGCTTTGACCCGATCAAAGGGAGCCGCCTTGCTCATCGTGGGCATTGGTGGGCATTGATCATTCTAGCAGGGGTCGGGGAGGGCAGGACGTTTAAATGGGAGATCACACTGTTCAAGTGCTGCTGCTACTTACCCTAACCAAATCCCAGAACCTCACTTTCTCCCCCCCCCCCCTGCAAAGTGAGAGCTACCTGTTACCTGCCACAAGAGATAATGACTCCCTTGTCACTAAAACTACTCAAACACAGATAGAGTGACATCCCAATCACCCAATCTCACCAGTTGGGTGAGAGACTCGGTCCCAATTTTGATAGGTAAGACTGAAGCTCTGGGTTGAGAATTGGACTTGATGATTTCTAAGAAACTGTCAAGCCCTATAATTCAGAGCCCCCAAATCCAAACCTTAGGTTGTTCTGAACTGGTAAGATTGTAACCCAGAAAGAAAGTCTGTTGACATTAGAGAAGAATATAAAAGTCCAATCTGGGGTTCTGTAGTTGGCCTGTTGGGATTAAACAAAAGTCCAAGATGTCCTAGGATGAGAAATTGGGGGAATGTGGGTTGGAAAGGGGATGGCATTGGAGAGAGATTGTGTCCGACCATTGTGTGCACTGTAGCTACAAATGACGTCGACAGGGATTCCACCCCTGCTGCCATCGAGGCAAGAACACTCCTCGGTCACATGTGAGGGGTCCTTGTTGACATGCCTGAGGTCTAACTTTTTAGACTAGGAGACTGGCATTGCCATCTTTTTCACGCAAATGTAAGCAGGGGCCAAACTAGCTGCTTTCTGTTCTCCTATTCTGGGTATCAGGCCTCGTAAGCTTTATAGATCCAACCCAAAATAAGGTCATTAGGGGTTGTCAGGTCATCTGTAAAATAGTAGGAAAAGGATCAAGGGTGGGGGGCGGGGAGGCATGTTTTCCCTCTGCCCTTGGAGGGAACTGACGGCTGATCATGTCATTCCAGAATGTCACAGCTGGTTGTGCGCATACAGACCACCTCAGTCCTCTCATTATTTTACAGGAGAGAATATTGAGGCCCAGAGAAGTGAAGTTATTGCTCAAGGTCACAAGGTCACAAAGCCAAGCACATTAAACATGCTATTTGGATTATCAACTATTGTTCGAAAAGTGGTTTCTTTACATTTAAATTTGTAACACTTCCCAAAGCCCTGTAAAGGCAACAAATATCCTCAAAGAATCAGAGAAACTCAAACCATTTCTAAGCTTTGTAAATAAAGACTTAGAAGTCTTCATCTAAAACCTAAAGTAAAGAACCCGAAAGCCAACAGCAGATTTGAACTGGATTTGTCTTCCAATAGGTGACTCGAGAATAAGAGTGTTTACTACTGGATTAAACCACACAGCTGGGATTGGACAGGAGGACTGGAATAAGTTCCGAAATAAGAGTTGAAACCTTTAGCTCCTGGTTAAATTACATACCATCTACAGGTACAAGAACTAAATCTGTGGTTTATCCTGATACCCACCCACATGGTTCAGAGCTACCCTCGACATGGAACATTACCTCCTGTTCATGACCCCAATGTCAGTTGAGGGTCAAGATATTTGAGTTGGTGTTCTGTGGGGAAAACAGGCTGAAAGATTTCTGGAAGTGCTGCTTCAGGAGAAAGAACACCTATAACCCTTTTCCATGATGAGGGAATGGGTATTGTAGTAGCATCCTCAGCAAGCACTCTAAAAATACTTTTTTTGAGTACCCATCATAGGCCATGGGCACAGCAGTTAGCTGGTGCTGGGTGCCAGCCAGGTGGCCAGAGGCTTCAACTCTCCCTGCCTAGGTGGGGACCTGCCCTAGAGTGGTCTGGCCTCAGGAGTAAGTGGCATTAGGCGGGGTGTGGTTTGAGCGGCACTGGGAAGGCCCATGAACCCCTCCGCTCCTCACAATAAAAGGGAAAGGTCTCAGTGCCATGGCACCTGAAGCTCCATCGTCAGAGGCGCAGACCTTCTCGAGGGAATGGGTCAGCCTTCAGAAGTCCCTGCTACCCCAGCAAAGGCAAAGTCCTAACCTGTAGTGGGACAGCTGTGACCAAGGTTCAGCGTTTCCCTAACCTGAGAAAATGGGGTTCTGTAAACAAGCACCGGACCACAAGTTCACAGTAAAATGTCATCATGGTTTGGATGGGATGATGAAGAAATGCAAAAACCAAAGTTGAATGCTTCCTAATTTTGCTCAGAGGCTGAGGTGGAGCGAGCATGCCCGCGACAGCATGTGGTCTGCCCAGAGCCTCTGTGTGCTCCTCAAGTGATGGGTACGCTCCCAACTTTCCTTTCGCAGTGCAGGATTTTGGCTCCATTTTTGGATACACTCACCTGTGTGTGTGTGTGTGTGTGTGTGCATGTGCGTGTGTGACACACATGCATTCTGTGTACCTATAGACCCGCAGCACTACTTACGACGCTAGCTACACACACATGCACACGTGTATATTATAAGTGTTTCCGATGTCAGTTTCCCAACCAAGCAAATGCAGTAAGACTTTTCCATGATGTTTCTCCCAACCACTGAGCTCCTTACCTTGACAAAGGCTTCAAACTGCTCTCTAATTTCCTCACAGTTCAGTAAGGATAAGGACCCTTCTCCTTTCTTGCATCTCTGTATCGTTTTTATGAACACAAAATCGTCGTGAAGATTCCTTTCATCTTCTATCTATTCATGAAATAACAGGGACATGAGAAATGTCATTGTGAAGGACAATGGCACTAATGATGTCTGCCTACATGTTCGCATCCACATCATTATAGGAGGAGGGCTTTGCAGGTATAAATGGGGAATGAAAGTCATTATGCTGGACTGTTGCTATTTGGTATTTGCAGTTACAAAGCCTACAAAACCCAGCAATTAAGAAGTCACATTCTCTGAATCTCCGGAAAGAACTGAGAAATCACAGCTATTCTAATAAAATTTCATCACAAAAGTATACCTTCTCAGTGTAGGATAGCGACAACATTCTATAATTGTCCTATTTCCCATTGCCCCAGTAATGATTGGTCATTATAAACTGAGCCTATAAAAAATAGTTTTCTGCTGAGCTAATTTGCCCACTTCAATTCAGTGCTTGTGATGCAGGGCTTTTTAAAAAGAAGTTAATTTAAACGTGTGTCAATTAACTCAAGTTCTAATCACATCTCCCTCTTTATCAATTTACTGTTTGTAGAAAATATTTGCATTTTTAAAGAAATCATCTTTCATTCCCAATGTTAATGAGCTATTTTATTTTCCAATGCCTCAGATTAATTAAACGTATAGACTTCACTTCCTAATCAACTAACACTTGTTTTAGGATTAAATTTTTAAATTGAAAACCAGACCCAGTTCACCAGTAGCTTTCATGATCTGTGAAAGCATGCCTCGCTGCCATGGCAACATTGAGTCTACCTAGTCGATAATGCCCCTGTAGAGGCGAGGCTTATGTCCAGGCATTTGATTTGCCTCCCAGGTCAAGCACAAACAACCTACCAGACCCAGAACCTCTCTCTTCTCAGTGGTGAAGCCCTGACTTCTAGTATGCCAGGAAGTTGCTGTTCAGCTGGTGGCCTTATCCCAATAGGAAACCCAGTGGCGATGACTCTAGGTTAGCATCCCAATAAGGACGCTCAAACATCCCCAAGAAAATGCAGTCTCGAATCGTGTACATCCACGATTCCTACATCCAGACATTTGGGAACAGCCAGATAACTGATCAAGTTTCTCTTTTCCATTGATGATTGGTATTTTGCCAACACAGCCTTAGTGGAAGTGGATAAATACATCAGAACACGGTAAGTCTGATGGCTCTCTTTTCCTAAGCAAGGCAACCGCTACTTTTGTTCCCACTAGTCCAACCATTTAAGAATATAAAACATCTCAGAGGGAAACCGAGCAACTAGCAGCTATACTAGCATTTGAAAAACGAGAGAGAACACCCCACTTACTAAAAGACTGCAAACTGTGGTCTCCTCTGTGTTTGTACTAAGCTTCAACAGTGGGCAAGCTCAGATCAAAGTGACCACTCTCCTTCTCAAGTTGGAAATTGAAAAGAAAAAAGTCATCTCCCACAGAACGATTGTCTACTTTTAAAGCCAAACTTGTGTAAATAATACAGCTGATGTGAATAGAGGGTTTAGGCTCTGTTCTGAACCTTTACAGGGTGAAATTAATCTTTGAGGTGGGTGCCATTACCATCACTGCTTGTCAAATGTGGAAACTGAGGCACAGAACTAGAAAGTAACATGCCAGGAGCACACCTGGTCCCGGCACAATCAAGCTCCATGCTCAAGCAGTCTGACTCTAGCACTGGAGCTCTTGACCAGGAACAAGAACAGATCTCGCTGAGCAGACGACAAGCACTATGCCTCGAGACCTTTCACCTCTCGGTGTTCCTTCCATTGCCTATCATTTAGGTAGAACTAAAATCAAGCAACACACACCAACAAGGACCCCACATTCAGTGAATCCATTTTTAGGGTTCAACTTACCTTGTCCAATCTTCTGTGAAGATACACGGCAAAAAATGCTGACCCAATCATGTGAGTGATAAGAAAAACAGTGAGTAAATACATAAAAATTTTCATGCTGGCTGGTGGTGCCGTGGCCACCGGTCGGGGAGAAGGCTGGCTGTAGGTTTCGATCATTCTGTATTCGAGTGGAGATGATAGCTTCTGGCAGAGACGGTGGCAGAGGCAGCATGAGAAGCCTATAACTGGCGTACCTGACTAACTAACAATTAGTTAAGGGTGCACAATCGTCGCAGCCCACACTTCCTGGAAAATGTGCTTCGTAGTCTTCGCTACCTGCAAAAATGTTACGTAAAGGTTTTTTTTTGTTGTTGTTTTTTTTTTTTTCAAATCATACCCATATCATTCACTTCCAGGCTTTCCCTTTTGTTAGTAAAGAAGAAACAAGCTTCTTCTTCCATACATTCATTCTTGCCTTGAAATGTCATAGACTCCTTAACAGACAATGGCAGTATTTTCCTATCACTGTCTAATTTTTGAGTTCACCAGTTTCAAGGAAAGTGACAAATTAATCCACCAGCAACAGACTTATTTCAATTTCAGTCTTACTAATATAAAGCGGGAACCTGGTATATGGGGACAGAAACCAATGTCAACAAAGTATGGAATGGTTTCATGTGATAATGACACTGGCTAATTACACCTCAAGACTTGATTCATTTTTAAACCCAGTGAAATCTCAGCAACTTTCCCAGGCTAGTCCACAAAGCATTGAGTGAAAAGGAGTGCAAATAATGATTAAATAAAATTGAGCTGGAAAGATAATTCGAGAAAAAAATAAATTTCTCAGAACCCAAGAAAAGGACACTTGAGAGAAGCCAGACTAGAACTCTAGGGTTGAGGGTGAAGTAAGAACCTAAGTCCGATTAAGCCAATTTGCCTGGCGGCCGTCCACCAGGAATTTGTTGGTGCTGATGTAATGGTCAGGAGCAGGGGAATGAGCTGTAGTTAAGAGATCTGAATTCTGCTCACTCTGCCAATAAATTGCTGTGGATCTCAAGCAAATCCCTTCACCTCTCTAGACCTCAGTTTCTTCACTTCCAGAGGGGACAGTTGTATCTGTACTGCTGACCCTATAGGGTCTTGTGAAGATCGAATAAATGTGCGCCTGAAAGATCTTGAAGCTTGTTAAGCAATAAACAACTCCCATCCTGTATTTTTTGGAATCTGTTTAACCTAAGATGTGTTTTCCAAATGATCACCAGCTCTTTGTATACTAATAAAACACAAATGAACAGTAATGATATTACAAACAGCCACAATTAGATAATGATCTGTATCACTGAGGTGTGGAGGATTGTGAATTTCTAGATGGTTTTGTATCATGTTATCAGATTGCCTTTGAAAGAAAAGCAATGGTGCAAATCTCTGCCCTGCATCCCAACCTGGCCTAGAAATCATGGTCTAGAAGCCAGTTCTAGAAGCTTGCTTTGGGGATTCCTATAAAATTGTTTTGAGAGACAAATAGGAAATGTTGCAAGCTGCTCCTCAGGCGTGCTCTCTGTAGAGTTAGCATCTGTCTCTTTTCCTCCCACACGCTGGCATCCTGTCCTGAGCCCAAGATCAGTGCAGCTTTTCACTACATATGCCAAGTCGGTGGCTTCAGTGCACGTGCTGATCTTTGATCAGTAAAGTCACAGGCTCCAGTTCTTAGACAAGTAACCTTAGTTCCCCTGAAGGAAAATTACCACGGGAGCCACAATGAGCTCAAGGACTTTTCTAGGGTCAGTTTCGTACAATTACAGAGTGCCAGAACTTTAAGGACCCCATGCAGATGGGCTCAGCCAAGCTTCAAGGGAGAGGATGCTGAGACCACAGAAATACAGTGTTAGAATTTGTTCATGCAATCAACGTTAAGAAGACTAATTGTGGCCCTCCCTGGTGGCACAACAGATTAAAGAGCAGCACTATGAAGTGATCTGCAGCCACTGCAGCAAGAGTTCAATTCCCGGCCAGAAACGTGACCCACATGGCTTGGCAGACTTCTGGCCCGCCCACTGCTCCCCTCAGCAACATATTTTAGTCAGCTTGCCTGTTCTGTTCCCCACTCTGTCTCTGGTGAATCTTCTCACCACCCCCGCACCTCTAGTCTGTGCCCAGGTTTTTGTATGCATAAATAAATATTTTTTAAAGAAGAGTCATTGTCTCATCTCCCTGCCTCCGCTTCCTGATCTCCAGCTCCTGCCCTCTGAATCCTGCCCACAACATCCCCCTGAAACTACTCCCATCATTGTTACCACAAGAATACCTTTGGCTGCATACTTCAATTTCAGTGATCATTCTATGATGCTATGGACCTGCTATTCCGTGGCCATCCTTCTGAAAACTCTTCCCTCCTGCCTGTTAGAGCACTTCTTCATGCCACCCCATTCTTTCACTATACCCCTGGAAACTTACGCATTCATTGTCCATGCTGCCTCACCCCTCCTCCCCTCCTCTTCGTTCTGCTCTCCCCTCCCCTTCCCTTGTCTCATTCTCCAAGTTTTCCTTGAGTGATTCCCATTCACTTTCTTAATTTCTGCTATGGCCTTCAATGTGATAAACCTCAGATCTATAACTGCAGCCGTTATATCTGAACACCAGATTCAGAGGTGTAAGGATACCTCTGAATACTTCCACCTGCATATCCTATAACATTTGGCAATGCCCCAAATTTTACCCATCTCCCCATTCCACTTCCACCCCAGACCTAGCCTCCCTACCTCAGCAGCCGGTACCACCACCTACCTACTTGTCCAGGTCAGCGACCTGCGAGTCATCCATGGGTCCTCCTTCCCTCCCTCTCGCCCAGATTACTCTTCCTCCCTCACCACCAAAGCTTCCTAATTGCCATCATTTCTCTCCAGCTCTCCAGCACCTTAGTCCAGGCCCGAATCTGCTCTCTCCTAGAATACTGAACTGCATCTTCCTAATGTCGCTCTCCCATTTCCTTCCTGCTCCACCCCATCTAGCCTCCATGCTACCAGCAGAATGCTAATTCTAAATCTTATAGCTGACCATATCATTGAACCTGATTTAATGCCCTAAGACTCGTCTCCTGGCATGCATGTTCAACTTGAATGGGGTTGGCAGACTGCCCTGCTCAGCGTATACTTCCATCCTGAAGCCTCCTCCTTCTCCCATCCTTCTTCTCCTGTTCCTCTAGCTGGACCTGTCCAACATCAAAATCTTGCACTGTAGTTTCTGACTTCTGATTCTGTATTCTTTGTGTCAGGAACCCCCAAACTGTGTCTCTCTCTGAACAGAGGTACTTGGCCTGGCATTGGGGTTTCTTTAAGAGTGTTTAGATGCTTTAATACATAAAGTGATCCTTAAGCTTAGTTTCCAAGAAATTTGCAGATTTGTGGGATACATGGTAGAGTCTCCAGCCGAAGTCAAATACTGACCATCTTTTTCTTAGTTCATAGTAAGTAGTTGGTGGATGGAGTCGTGTCAGTGTTTGGTTTCTCTTACACAAAATTTTGGTAAATCTCTGTCACTCTTTTCTTCCATTGCTTTTCTGGTAGCTACTGATTGATCTGCAGCAAATATGTACCAAGCGACAAATTCAAAAAGCAATGGATCATACTTCAACAGCTTGTTTTTGGTGCAAATATGCTTGTGGTTGTGATTTGATAATGATAAGCTAGAACACAGTCATAGTTTCTGCTAGGAAAATTGTTTCCAGTCTACATATGAGAGAGTTAAACATATCAGCATTTTGTTTGTTCTCCTTTCCTTGAACATGTCTGGAAAACCCTAGCCTCAAGGATAGCATCTTGAGCCTTTGATTCTTAGCACAGTGCCTGCCCACCTTTCTATCCTCATCTCCTACCCAACCCTGAGCATCAAAAATATCAAGCTCGTGTTATTACCCTAAAAGTGATGAGCTTGTTTAAGTAGTTCCCAGTGACCCCACGGGCCCATCCTTCTCATCCGTTAATGTTGGAAATACACCCCCTTTGAGAAGTATCCCCTCCTAGCTGACAAGTCACCTTCTTCTTGCTTCATCCATCATGCACTTGCTGCATTACATCATAATCAATTTGTTTGATTTCCCTGCCATTTAAGCCCTGAAGAAAAGAACTGCGTTAAAAAAAAAAAATCTCTGAATGCTTTCTCTCTGACACATTGTAAGACATGAGTAAAATCTTTGCCAAATTACTAAAGTTTCTTTTAAGGGTATAGAAAGGGAAGTTGTAAAACATTCTAACCTGGTAGAATAATACTGACTACCCTCTCTGGCAATATAAATCAGAATGTATTTATATGAAGTGTTCTTTGATTTCCTTAGTTATCTCTCTTCCCTCTGGGGTAGTTTCACTTGTTTATTTTGGTCCTTCTGTTTCATGTCCATGGTTTTCTCCAATGTGTCCTGATCCTTTGTTGTCTAGACATGTTTATGAATGAAGAGCGAGGCCAGTTTTGGGGCAGGTGGCATGGTTTCTTCTGCAACGGTGTTTATCTGTCTCCCCCACAAACCTGCCTCTCCAGAATGGGAAGGCTGACTGTGGGTTCTGTTTAAGTGGGTGGGGCCTGTCAACAGGCAGGCTTCCCTTTAGGTTATGTGGGTGGAGAGGCAGGAAAACCAAGGACCCCCCCACAAGTGATAACGTGAAGGAGGGTTTTCTCTCTTGATAGGGGGGAGCTTTTTGGAGAGTTTCACTCTTGGCTGTGGCTGGTTTTCCTTTTTCTATCTGTGGTAAGTGTCTCAGCACCTCCCTAGCGTCATCCTGGGGCAACATTAGCCTGAGGGCACAGGCCAAACAGCTGATGCTGATGATAGATAGGTCTTTGGGGATAGGAGAGAGGGCGAAAAGGGCACACCTGTCCAACCTGCTTCCCCTGCAGTTCCTACATGAGCTGCTCTAATACCTGCTCTTCAGCCTACCCCACTCTTTGTGTTCGTTGACCTGAGATGGGTGTTTTGTGGGAAAGTCCACTCTAACCTCTGATTTCCTAAATCACAATGTTTTCTGTTCTGATCTCTCAATTAGTCCAAATTCATTGACTCGCTCACTTCCCCATATTTATCTCACATTAATGCCACATTATTGCCCATGGTTGGGCACCCATTCTTGTTACATTTGTTATTGACTACGCAGTACATTCATGATGTTGAAATGTCAATGACACAA